TGCTTATTCGTAATTTTTGTTTAAATAGCGTAAGATTAACTTCCCAAAATGCAATACACGGACTCTGTCTTCACTCTTCCTTGGGCCAGTTCGAGAGATCGGAAGGGGGCTGCTTTCACGTCCCCGATAACGGACACGAACGAAATATCGGCGAGATGCGGGAGAGACGATAGCAATAAACTAATCTTAAGAACCGTCGACAAGGAAGTCCCCCCGAAGACTTGCCCATCGAGAAAAATCCACCGACCGAGGCTCACGACCTGCGGTTTCCTCGACCAGGAGAGCCTGCGGTGGCCGGACTCGGGCAGCTGGGCGTCCGTGGCGTGCGGCCTGCGCTCCGTGACGCTCCTGCTGGTGGTGAGCCTGATGAGCCCCGTGGGAGCCTTCTGCCCGCGCGGCTGCACATGCGACGACGTGGGCCTCCGCGTGCAGTGCATCCACGCCGACCTGGATGTCATCCCGATCCTGTTTCATCCGGGGACGCTCGAGCTGAATCTGAGCTACAATAGAATTAAGACAATCTTAGAAGGACTCATATTCTACGGCGAGCTTCAGTACCTAGATCTCTCGCATAACGAGGTTGTTTCCGTTGGTTCGCAGAACTTCGCGTCGCAGAGAGTGCTCAACACGCTCGTGATCGGAAATAATAAGCTTTCGAAAATTCAGAGTAGAGCTTTCCTCGGCCTTTCTAATCTCAAGCACTTAGATTTGAGCGACAACTATATCGAGTCGATTGAGAACAACGCTTTTGGCGCGCTCGTAAATTTAACAACACTTGACCTGTCAAATAACAGAATAAAGAATCTCACAGTCAATACCTTCATGAAACTGCATGGACTCAGAAGCCTGAACCTGTGCAAAAATGAAATGAGAGAAATTTCGAGTGTAGTATTTGAACCGCTTAGGGAACTTCAAGACTTAGACCTGTGTTCGAATCAGTTAATGACTATTCAAGACTTTGCCTTTATGAGCCTGAAGAGTCTAGTGAATTTGAAATTAAGCAGCAACAAACTCCACTTCTTGCACGAAAAAGCTCTAAGTGGACTGGATTCCCTGAAAATTCTCAACTTGCGAGACAACGACATCCCAGCGGTTCCCAGCAACGTCCTGGCAGCCACGAGGGGCATGGAGCAGCTGGATCTGGGCATCAACCCGATCACGTCTCTGCCGTTTCGCCCGTTCAGGCACCTGGCGAGCCTCAGGAAACTGTACATATCAAGGTGCGAGAACCTCTCTGCCATCGACACCGAGGCTTTCACCGGCCTCGCCAAGCTGACAACTCTGGTCCTCAGCTTCAACCCACAATTAACGACCCTCGATCGTGACATATTCAAGCCTCTCCGCGGTCTCCGGCACTTGACGCTCAGAGGCAACGGTCTCAAGGGCTTTGATCGTTCTCTTGTTAGTCAAAATGCTCTCCAGTCTCTAGACCTGAGGGATAATAGCTTTGAGTGCAATTGTTCTCTAAAGTGGCTGCAGGAAGCGAGTTCGAATAAAACCCTCTCGCTGAAAATTGAGGAGATCTTGTGCGCTGGGCCAGAGCCACTAAAAGGGAGAAGACTTTCGGAGTTATCGGAGTATGATCTGGAGTGCTATGACAATGTGGTGGTGATGGCCTCGTGCGCCGCGGCCTCCATGACGCTGCTCCTCCTCTTCGTGGCCTTTGGGGTTCTCTACTACAAGAACTGTCGCAAGATGAAGGCGATGGTTCACGACAACTGGCCGGAGAAGATCGTGGCCACTTGGAAGGACCCCGAGTACGAGAAGCAGGTGGAGGACGAGGAGTACACCTTCCACTCCCTACGAGGCATCCAGCACATCCCGGTCACGGTCATTTGACAGGAGCTTAGTGGAGACCAGTCGCTGCCTTCGGGTCTCCATGAGGAACTCATTGAAAGAACCAAGTCGTTCAAATCTCTCTCGAGCAATGACATCGACAAGAACAGAAGACTTCACGACATTCCGAGAACGAGCACGCAAGAGTATTTTTCGTCGCTGAAGTCGTCTCCGGCTGCCAACCAGGACGAGCAGTTCGGGGCGCACTCCCTGGATAACAGCATCGCGGGCAGCACGAGCAACCACAGCAGCAGCAGAAACGGATGCGTCCGTGTCTCGCAGTACTCGCCCCCCTCCCCTCCCTGTGTTATAACAACCTCCAACTACTACAGCCAGGACAACCAGTACCCCATTTACGCCGAACCGCTCGTGAAGCCCAACTGCGGCAGCAAAAAAATAGCCAAGTCCTCCAAGGACTCGGGGTACTACTCGTGCGAATTCCTGGACCAGAACCCGTACTCGGAGTCCCTGAAGGAGACGGGCATGAAGTCCTCTCCTTCGTCACAGAGTCAGCCCCTCGGGAGACACCTTCCCCTCACTGACTCCGGGGTCTTCACGCTGAGCCACATCTACAACAGGCCCAGCCAGTACAGCTTTAACAGCCAGGAGGGAATTTATGATAATATCATATGATAAAGGACTTCCGAATTTGTGTTTTTTTTTT